CAGCTCCGCTCCTACTCACGCATGTACAACCGTGCCCCGTGTAGCCCCTGTGACAGTGCAGCGGGTGGCTCCAAATGTGCGTGGGGTGGTGGTGGCTGGCCGTCCATGTCACAGGCAGAGAGAGAGAGACGAGGAAAATGCGTTCGAGGGGAGAGGTGAATCCCTCCACAGCGTCCCTCCTCCCCGGGAACTCCCAAGCTGCACAGGCTCCTTCCTTACCAAGACCGCAGGGCCTCACAGAGGGGCTCCATCCACCGTCTCTTCCGTAGTTTTCCAGGACAGGAAGCATTAGTGAGTCCGGTGCTCAGAACCTCACTGCCTCTTGCTTCTCTTGCTTTATTGCCTCCAGGACCTGATTTGGTCTTCAAGTTTTATCACATCCGGTAAGTGGATCTCAGGAAGCTGCTTTGGGGTTCATAAGAGTAGCAATTTATAAAAACACGTTTTCTGCCTTACAAGTGTAATTTTGTTTTCCCTGTTTTGTTTTTTTGCTTTGAGTTCTATTGCTGATGCTCTGCTATGTTTTATTAATTTACGGGAGTTGCAATATTGCTGATCAGGACTTGGTTCACCTTTGTTTAACAATGGAATGAGAAGCCCTTGTAGCATCTTCTGACCAGGGTGTCAAGATAACCTGGTGGCTTTGGGCATTCTGCACTCTTCTGGCAGCCCAAGAGAGCAGGCTACATATGCCAGCCCAGGCAGGAATCACAGCGGCTGGGACCACGTACTCAAGAGGTTTAAAGGCTGGTGCTGTCCGAACACACCAGGCTCGGTCTAATTTATCCTTTGCAACCGGCTCTTTTTTCCCTTGAGTGAATGCGCATGTTCTTTTTAGTATTATGGGCCAGAGAAGAAAGTCCACCACCAGCGTGCTTCTACCAGATTGACCTGTCTTTGCCCCCTTTAGCAACCTGGAGGTGGAGCTGGCCCCTCCCTTCACCATCAGTGGTTCTACACATGGAGCAGGAGGGGGCTACGTGCAGTTCCATGAGAGAGGACTGTAGGATGGAGAATATGCACAAGCTGACTTGGAGGCTCTTCTGTTCTAGCATCATCCTGGACCAGTTCCAGAGCTGCCATGAGGATCGCAAGGGTCTGGCAGCAGGAGGGCAAGCTTGGTCTTCCCCTTAGAGTGAGCTGCCCTGTCCTTAGTGCAAGATGTTCACCTCTGGGGCTTCTGATGCATCTGAAGTCTTCTCAGCTTGGCTTTGAGAGGGGTGTCTCCCTCCTTCCACAAGCCCTCCATCGGCAGAGACTTATGGCTGCCAGGGGACCAGGCATGGAGACTTTGGATAGGCTTGGGCAGCTGCGTATATCTCTTCCTGAGACCAGAGATGTGTGGAGCATCCACTGCCCCCCCGCCCCAAGTTGCTGCTGAATTGCCCGTTTTGGACTTCCTACTCCAGGGCCACCTTCATGTCACAAACATGCAGGTTTCAGTGTTGGCGTTCCAACGGAGTGTAACTCCCTCTTCAGCACCTCATGGCCCACTGTCTGCTGGTGTAGACAGAGAGGTGAAGAAGGTTGCTGCGTTCCCTCTGCTTGCTTTTTGACTAAAAGACTGCTAATTCCAGGGCCTTCCCAGGTACAAAGGCATGGAGCGCATGCTCTCAGACTCTCCTTCTGGACGGGTGTGTAACTAGCGAGATGCTGAAGGTCTGCCTGTTATAGCTGTAAAACCTGCTTCATTGCTCACTTAGATTCCTGCTCTCAGGAACCCTCCTGCACACGCAGAGCGCTCCAGCCCCGATCAGCAGTAGCGGAGTAGCCTCAGTGCCCGGGCTGCCCCAGAGTCCCAACCTGGTCGCTAGACCTGCTGGCCTGGAAAGAGGACACAGGTGATCCTTGTTCCAGTCAGGCTTGCCTGAGACCTGCTGTGCTCAGCGCATCCTGTCATCATCTCTCTCATCTGGCCTACTTCCTGAAGCTCTTTCTTGCGTGTTTCTCCTCCTCCTCTCTTCCAAAGATCAGAAGGCTTTCCTCTGGAACGTTGTCAGTCCAGAGGAAGCTGGCTTGGCTTACCAAAGACCTCACTCTGAGTCCTGGCGTCCTCCGGGAAAGGAAACTCTGGGTAGTTAAGCTAAATCAATCCACGCTCATCTCCAAAACTTAGGAAGGCTCTTCCGGGTCAAAGGGTTGCTCCAAGGAATTCAGGGTGAGCCAGCAGCGTTCTGTGGGTTGCCTGACCGCTCTAGGGCAGGGCCCTTTCCCTTTTGGGAGGGGCTGCTGCTTTGTGGCAGGATGCTGATCTCCACCCCCATCTGTTCTTTCCGAAGGGAAGCGCCTTCTACTCCATGCTGCAGCACTTCTGCCCCGGCCTAAGAGTGGAAGGAGGGAGGTGTAAGATGAGACAGAAGTGGAGTGCAGAACGCAAATCTAACAAGAAAAATGGAGGCTGCACCCTTTCCTTGCCCCCTGTCTTTTGGACCCAGTTCCCCTCTTTGCCTAATCCCTTCAGACCCAAACTGACCCTCCCCGCCCCAGACACAGCCCCTGCAAGCCCCCCTTAAACCAAAGCCTAGAAGCCCCCCAGCT